ATCTCTGTCGTAGAAGCCATCATTTTATGAGAGTCAGGAAAAGGGAGCCTTAAAATTTTTTTACTATATGTGAATTTAAACACAGAGTTGTTTTTTATAAACTTTCAATTACTGATATGACTTTGGACATAGTGAAATAAATAAATATAAATGTCTTTCTACATGGAAGCTTATTTTGTTTTACCAACTTGTTTTTCTAACTTTCCATGGATTAATTTTTCAAATTTGAGTTATTTTTTTCTCTGTTACCATACTGGCAAATGCCCTCCAAAGCTCGTGGCCCTTTCCCCAGTGATTTCCTAGGCTCATGTTAACCAGAAGGCAGTGAACTCACTCTCAGCCTGTGCCCTGGGAGAGAGGCATTTGAGGTGGATCATGCCCTTTATTTGAGAAGAAATAGGTGGTATGACCCCCAAAAGTGCATGCCTTCAGGGACCTTGGTGACCCCCAGGTTTTTGAAGCCAAGGAAGCTAATGATAACAAAGACTTCTAGTTGTTTTTGTCAAATTGGTGTTGTTGTGCCTTAGACTTTCTGTTTGATTAGCTTCCTGTCATGTGAGCCTTGGAAAGACAGTCACTATACTGGTGGTGGTAGGTGGCAGTTTCCTCTAGGAAGTTTGAGATACAGTGTAGAAAACTAAGGGGAAAATTATTGGGGTCGTTCTAGGATCACCAAAGAGCTCCCAGGACTGTAGGGACTGATGGAGTAGGAGTTAGAGTTTACAGAACTCAGTAAGAGTAACGGGTTAGGGCCCAGGTTCAGGATTAAGCCATTCCTGAGAAATCTATCAGCCAGGGATGAATCAGAACTAAAGATCAGCTGTGCCCAGGCACAGCCTTCTGTCCATGACCTTATGCTTTTCCATTTCTATAAATTTCATGAATGCCCTTATTCTAATCTTTAGCTGGCGACTCCTAATTCTATCTCTAGAACTGACCTCATTCAAAAATTCCAGGCCCTTGTCCCAATTGCCTATTGTGGGTTTTTATTTGATTGTGCCATGGGTACCTCAAACTGTGTCTGAAACTACATTTAGCAAATTCTTCCTTAATAAAAGGTGAAGGAGGAAGAGGAGGGGGGGAGGAGGAGGGGGGAAGGAGGAGGAGCAGGAGGAGGAGGAGAAGAAAAGGAGAGAGAGAGAGAGAGAGAGAGAGAGAGAGAGAGAACTAGCACACAAAATTGTCCCTATTTCTATTATTTTTTCTTATCATAGTGAATAGTACCATTCTCCATCTAGTTGCTCATATAAGAAATTATAGGCAGTTCTCTTCTCACTCAAAAAGTGCCCTAAATTCTATCTCTTTCATAATTCCTCTCAAATATATTTTCTCTGCTTCAGCCCTGTTTTCTTTTCTATTGTATCTTCAGTGCTTCAAATGTTTCCTAGCACAAAGTAGGAATTCAGCAAATATTTAGTGAGTTAAAGAACAAAGAAAATAAACAAAGCCATTAGCCCTGTAGGAAACAGTTAATTTAGGAAACAGATACAACCTTTAAAAATAAATACATTTTGGAAAACATTCAAGAGAAACTTTTATCCATTAAGCAGGACAGGCTGCTACGAAAAACAAAAAAAAATCTGAGGGAAAAAAAAATTTATTGAAGGTAACAAATTTTTTAAAATAGCAATGGGCAGGGTGAATAATAAAATTGACACAGCTGAAGATCTAATTAATTAAAGTGGGAAAAAGTCTCAGAAATAATGTAAAATAGCAGACATAAATTATGAGGAAAGTTAAACAGTGGTTGCTACAAGAAAATAAAACAAAGTATTCAAAAGGAAAAAAAAAGGTTTGAACCCTGATTCTTATATTCAGCTAAAAACTTAAGTATGAAAAGAAAAAAAGATATGCAGGATGATTTGGACACAATAAAAGGGAGAAACTAGGTATGACTCAGAAGTCAGGGAAGCTAGAAAAAAATAAAAGTTGAAACATTAAACTAACACTTGGAAGAGACTTTTTTCAGCGGCAAAGTTTAGTAACAGGTTTACACTTCCTTCTCTATGGATAGTTTCAATTACTTAGGCCTGTAATAAGTGGTATTTGCATAAACACACTGTTAATATTATTTACTAGATTTCAGTTTTTAAGAGTCAATGTGTAGATAAAGCATGGAGGATTTACTTATAGTTAGAGAACAATCTTATAGACATTGACAATATAAAAATAACATTCCTTCTAAAAACTTGGAAATTAGGTGAGTGAATATGTTGGAAAACATAAAAGTCTAAATAAATTTCCATTTTCACAGGGAGGAGTTAATATATCAAGTATACAAGTTTATATATATCAAAATCATTATAAAAGCAACAACAAGCAGGTGGGGGAGAAGGTGGAAGGTAATATGAATGCTCTAAAATCTTCATCTTTATTTGTGGGGAGCCCAAATCAATAAAGGCTATTATCCTATATAATAAAAGCCTAATATGCTAAGTGTCTGACTGTTTGTTTGACTGTTCGACCAGTTACTATCATGCGCACTGACCACCAGGGGGCAGACACTCCAACCAGTAGGTTAGCTTGCTGCTGGGGTCCAGTCAATTGGGACTGGGTGAGATGGGCCTGACATGCCCTGGAGCCCTCCCACAGTCCCTCCCTGGCCCCGATCGTTCATCAGTGGGGTCCCTCAGCCTGGCTTGCGCCCTCTCGCAATCTGGGACCCTTCAGGGGATGTCAGAGAGCTGGCTTTGGCCCGATCACCGCAGGTCAGGCCAAGGGATCCCACTGGTGCATGAATTCGTGCACCGGGCCTCTAGTTTATTTATAATGATAACAATGAGAAAAACTAAAAAACAAGAAAACAATATACCTTAGCTTCTGGGAAGTAAGAGTTATATGTTCATGTATACTATTCTATTTGCAGTTTTTTTTTTAAATATGTGCATACATTATCATTTAAAAATCTAAGGCAATATGAATGAAGAAGTCAATAGCTTAGTGTATGTGAAGTGTCTGACACAGAGTAGGCACCCAATTATAGTTTTTTATGGCTGCAATTAAAAATTTTATTTTTATATGTGGTAGCTGATGTCAGCTGTGTTCTCTCTGTCCCTTCAGATACAAATAAATTCAGGTCAAACCAATTTTGTGCTTTGCGGTAGCCTAGAGTGTGTCCTCTGGTGTCTGCAGATGCCATGGTATCGTGGTGGTTGTCGCTGTGAATGGGCTCCTCCCACTGAACTAAAGCACATTCTGAGTCTCATTGTGCCCCACTTGCCATCCTAGTTCACACTTTGTTTAATTAGATGCTGAATTCAATCCAGTCCTGTGATTTCTACTAAAAGCATCCACTCACATGACAACTTTGCATTTGTAAGTTTGAGGAGGTTGAAGAAGGTTAACTGACAGGGACAGTTTATATCACGAAGATGCTATTTCAAATTAAATATTGCACATCACCCCTGGCAAATGGTCAGCTGCAGCTTCACCACATATTCACATCTCTAGCTCTGTGGTCTTGCTTAGCCATTTTCTCCTCCTCTAGCTCTCTTCTCAGCTTCCACCTCTGATTGCTTGAGGGAGCTTGAGGTCCCTTTTATTTTATTCTGTAAGACTCTCTGACTCCTACTCCCATACCTGACTCCAGATGCCACTTGGCCGAGCCTACCCTATGGAGATGGGCAACAGATCAAGGTACTTTTGGGTCACAGAATCCACTAGAGAAGTTAGTGGTGGCAATAAGGGGCACTTTTTCTGTCTATTGTTTTGGAATACAGCAATAACTAACCAAGCAGATTGTTATATGCAGTACATTTTCTCACTGCCATCTACTCTTCTCATCATCAGAGAGAGTAACAAAAATTCACCCTGAGTATCATCTAAAATAAAAGATTGTTTTAAAGCTTGTGTCTTCACAAGTAATAACTGCCCATTTCATTTTTAAAAGATATAATGGTAAAATTTGATCACTATATAATGACAGAGTAATGTATTTTTAAAAAAACTATAGTGGGAAAGTTGGTCTTAATGGACCATAGTTGCCCAATTGCAAATATATATATATGCCTAAGCGACCAAACAACCAATCGACCGGTTGCTATGATGCGCACTGACCATGAGGGGGCAGACACTCAATGCAAGAGCTGCCCCCTGGTGGTCAGTGTGCTCCCACAGCAGGAGTGCTGCTCAGCTGATGGACCCATCCCGGTGGCCTACCAACCCAACAGCAGCCACTCACTCTCTCAGTAGACCTGCAGGTCCAATCTCCAGAGAACGGGCCAGGCACTGATGGACCGGCACTGCTGGCATGATCTTGACAGTGCAGCAGGTCTCCTGGAAGTTGGCCTTGGGCACCGCTACCACTTCTCCTCCCTAGATGCTCCACAAGAAAGAAACGATATAAAATCAGCCGACAAGTGGATCCTGACAAACTGCACAAACGTCAGCAGCACGGGTCTGAATCCCAGGCCGGTGAGGGGATCCCACCGCTCACCCAGATTGCCAATCGTGTCCCACCCCCCGCTCCTCGGGATAGGCGCCAGATGCAGGGCTTATGGCTGGGGAGTGCTGCTGTTGCTGGGGTGCGAGCCTCTCCCAATTGGGACTGACTGAGCATGAGCCCGAGGCAGGCGCAGTGGGGCTGGGATGAGTAGGAGTGGCAGGCAGGAGCAGCAGGCAGCATTGGACTGCTGGTTTCAGCCTGATCCCCACAGGACACCCCAAGGGAACCCACCTGCACAAATTCGTGCACCAGGCCTCTAGTGCAATATATAAACACTGAACTTTATAAATTGGATAAGGCAGAGAAGATCCCTGTGGGACTCTGGTTGACATATTTAAGTCTCAGTTTCCTTTCTCTAAGCTGCAGAGAATCCACATCTTTATGCATTAATTTGAAATGTTATACAGGGTAGGGCAAAGGTAGGTTTAGAGTTTGTATGGAAAGTAATACAAACATTAATAAATAATAACACAAGAATAAACTCTGTTTCATGTATTCACAACTGTAAATCTACTTCGTCCCACACTATATTTACCTTGGTTTATTTCCTTTCCAGGTTGCACCTGACATATCTATTGAGACACATGAAGATGAAGAGGTGAAAATTCAACCTGAGTATCATCTAAAATACTCAGTGGACCAGGTATAATATGACTATTATGACCATTATTATTACACTAATTATTCTTCATATTGATGCTGGCTATTCTTAAAAAGTAGCAATGACTTTGATGGAGAATTAGTTTTGTTTGTTGTTTTTCCTCTTTAAAAAAAATCTTCGTTATTGAGAATATTACAGATGTCCCCCTTTTCCCCCTCATTGCCCCCCTCCATCCAGTTCCCACCCCACTCCAGACCTTCATCATCCTACTGCCTGTGTCCATAGGTAAGATCTTTGGTTAATCTCCTCCTGACCCCCCTACCCACTTCCCTCTGAGATTCATCAGTCTGTTCCATGCCTCTGACTCTATTTTACTCACCAGTTTGTTTATTAGATTACTTGTTCACTTATTTTTATTTTTAGGTTCAATTGTTGATAGATATGTATTTGTTGTAATTTTAGTCATATTTTTATCTCTTCTTCTTCCTCTCCTCCTCCTCCTCCTCCTCCTCCTTCTCTTCTTCCTCTTTTTAAAGAATTCCCTTCAACATTTCATATAATACTGGGTTTGTGGTGATGAACTCCTTTAGCTTTTTCCTGTTTGTGAAGCTCTTTATCTGACCCTCAATTCTAAATGAGATCTTTGCTGGGTAGAGTAATCTTGGTTGTAAGACTTTGCTATTCACTACTTTGAATATTTCTTGCCACTCCCTTCTGGCCTTCAAAGTTTCTGTTTGAGAAATCAGCTGACAGTCATATGGGTACTCCCTTGTAGGTAACTAACTGCTTTTCTCTTGCTTCTTTTTAGATTCTCTCTTTGTCTTTAATCCTTGGCATTTTAATTATGATGTGTCCTGGTGTGGGCCTCTTTGGGTTCCTCTTGTTTGGGGTTCTCTGTGCTTCCTGGACTTGTAAGTCTATTTCTTTCATCGGGTAGGGGAAGTTTTCTGTCATTATTTCTTCAAATAGATTTTCTTGCTCTCTCTCTCTCTCTCTCTCTCTTCCTCTCTGGCACCCCCCCATAATGCAAATGTTGGTATGCCTGAAGTTGTCCCAGAGGTTCCTTATGCTATCTTCATATTTTTAGATTCTTTTTTCTTTTTCCTCTTTTGTTTGGGTGTTTTTTGCTTCCTCATATTCCAAATCATTGATTTGATTCTCTGAATCCTCTACTCTAACTGTTGATTCCCTGTAAATTATTTTTTTAAATAATTCTTTCTTGTAGAAAGTTCCACTATTTCCGCATTGACCCCTACCAGCCTTCTCCCATTCCCCACCCAGGTCCTTACCACCTCATTGTCTGTGTCCATGGGCCATGCATATATGCATACAAGGACCTTGGTTGGTTACCTTCCAGTCCCCCCTCCTCCCACTTCTCTCCAAGATTCCACACACTCTTCCATGCTTCCATATCTCTGGATCCATTCCATTCATCAGTTTATTTTGTGACTTTCCACATATGAGTGAGATCATGTGATACTTATCTTTCTCTGACTGACTAATTTCACTTAGCATGATACTCTCCAAGTCCCTCCATGCTGTCTCAAAGGGTAAGATATTCTTTTTTACTGTTGCATAGTAATCCATGGTGTAAATGTACCACAACTTTTTTATCCACTCATCTACTGATGGGCACTTGGGCTGTTTCCAGATCTTTGCTATTGTGAATTGTGCTGCTGTGAACATACTGGTGCATACATTCTTTCTGATTGGTGTTTCTTGCTTCTTAGGATATGTGGCAGTTCCATATTTAATTTTTTGAGGAAACTCCATACTGTTTTCTATAATGGCTGTACCAGTCTGCATTCCCACTTACAGTGTAGTAGGGTTCCCTTTTCTCCACATCCTCACCAACACTTGTCATTGATTGATTTGTTGATGGTAGCCATTCTGATAGGTCTGAGGTGACACCTCATTGTCATTTTACTTTGCATCTCTCTGACAATCAGTGAATTTGAGCATTTTTCATATGTCTCTTGGCCATCTGCATGCCCTCTTTGGATAAGTGTCTATTTAGGTACTTTGCCCATTTTTAATTGGATTGTTTGTCTTCCTTCTGTTAAGTTATATGAGTTCTTTACATATTTTGGATATTAATCCTTTATCAGATGTATCATTGCCAAATATGTTCTCCCTTTTGGTTTTGTTGATAGTTTATTTTGCTATGCAGAAACTTTTTATTGTTTGTGTTGTTGTTTTTTTGTTTGTTTTAAATATTTTTATTGATTTCAGAGGGGAAGAGAGGAGAGATAGAAAAATCAATGATGAGAGTGAATCATTGATTGGCTGCCTCCTGCACATTCCCTACTGGAGATAGAGCCTACAACCCAGGCATGTGCCCTGACTGGGAATTGAACCGTGACTTCCTGGTTCATAGTTCTATGCTCATTCACTGAGCCACCTTGGCTGGGCCAGAAGCTTTTTATTTTGATGTAGTTCCATTTGTTTATTCTCTCCTTAGTTTTCTTTGCCCTAGGAGATGTATCTGTAAACATATTGCTGTGAGGGGTGTCTGAAATTTTGCTGCCTATGGTTTCTTCTAGGGTTTTTCTGGTTTCACAACTTACATTTAAGTCTTTTATCCATTTTGAGTTTATTCTTATGCATGGTGTAAGTTGGTGGTCTAGTTTCATTTTTTTGCATATATCTGTCCAATTTTCTCAACACCGTTTATTGAAGAGACTGTCTTGAATCCATTGTATGCTCTTGCCTCCTTTGTCAAATGTTAATTGAGAGTAATGACTTGGGTTGATTTCTGGGTTCTCTGTTCTGTTCCATTGATCTATATGCCTGTTCTTGTGCCAGTACCAGGCAGTTTTGATTGCAGTGGCTTAATAGTATAACTTGAAATCTGGTATTGTGATCCCTCCAACTTTGTTCTTCTTTCTCAAGATTGCTGCAGCTATTTTGGGTCTTTTTGATTACATATACATTTTTTGGATTATTTGTTCTAGATCTGTAAAATATGCTGTTGGTATTTTAATAGGGATCACATTGAATCTATAGATTGCCTTGGGTAGTATGGACATTTTAATGATGTTGATTCTACCAGTCCATGAACACAGTATATTCATCCACTTATTTATATCTTCTTCTATCTCTTTTTTCAATGTCCTGTAGTTTTTTTAATATAGGTCTTTTGCCTCCTTGGTTAAGTTTATTCCTAAGTATTTAATTTTTTTGTTGCAATGGTAAATAAGATTGCTTGTTTAGTTTCTCATTCTGAGAATTCATTATTGGAGTATAAAAAAGCCATTGATTTTGGGGTGTTGATTTTGTATCCTGCTACATTGCCAACTTCATTTATTAAATCTAATAGTTTTTTGGTGGAGTCTTTAGGGTTTTCTATGTACAATATCATAATAAGAGTTTTACTTCCTTCTTTCCAATTTGGATGCCTTTTATTTCTTCTTCTTGTCTGAAGGACTAGGACTTCCAGTCCTACATATGTTGAATAAGAGTGGTGAAAGTGGTCATCCCTGTCATGTTCCTGTTCTTAGGGGAAATGGTTTTAGTTTTTGTCCATTGAGTATGATGTTTGCTGTAGGTTTTTCATATATGGTCATTATCATGTGAGATATGCTCTCTCTATTCCCAATTTGCTAAGAGTTTTTAATAAAAATGGGTGTTGGATTTTGTCAAATGCTTTTTCTGCATTTATTGATATAGGTGTTTACCTATGCCGCCATCTTCGAGAATTAGTTTTATGAAGAGTCAGAGGACATGATTGCCTCCATAATATGATTCTGGGGTGTAACCCTGACATACTCAAAGAAATACTTCAGATTTATGGAGAAACAGGGTGTATTGTTCATGTAATTAACTTTGTGATGTATTTTCTATTGAAAGGTTGAAGAGAAACATATTTTGGAGAAGGAAATAGAAATGTTAAAGAAAAGTTTAGAGAATGAAAAAATGTTGACACAAAGGTACTGGAAATAATGATTCATAACTACTCATTTGTAGCTAGTACAAAATTTAACTATCTATAAATTTATTACAGGTTTAGGAAGGAATCAGAACGGATAAACAAAATATGGGAAAAGAAATTTCTTATTCTCCAGAACAGGTATAGTGTGGTAATATATAAAAATTCTAGTTATAGAAATGTGACCTATCATCTTTTAAGGAAATGAGGCGAAATTTTTCTGTATATATTAATTAATATTAACAAGAAGTTCAAAATAATTGGCCTAAAATAGAATGGTAGTCAAAGTCACCTCAAAGAAAAAATAATTTAAAACTTTCATTTCCAATGTCAATGTTTCAACTTTTAATGGATCAACAGCACAGGCAGTACCTATTGATTCCTGGTTTAATCAGACCTGCATAATCATCTCTCTTCATAGGGCGTTAAAATGTTTTCCTGCTCATTTGCACATATTCATATTTAACTGGTCTATAGCTTCCTTGTAAAATTGCTTTAAATACTAGATCCCCTTTCCATTTTTAGACAGGCAACACCAACTCCTTAATTCTCAGATCTAATTTTTATTCAGATAATTATTTTAATTTCTCTTCTCCATGTCATCTTTGTCTTCTTAAATATGGAGAAAGTAAAAAGAAATGAAGAAAGTGACACTAAAATTCTGAAAAAGCTTAAAGCAATGCCAACTAAAAAAAATGCTTATTTTTTTCTTGTCCTAACATGTTAGTATTAAAATTCTATGTTCTGTTCTCTCGGTTTCTGCCATAATTTCCACTAGAATTTCTTTGCATGTTGGAAATTTCTTTGCAAGATTTTCTCACAGTGAAGCATCTACAGGATAGATTCAATGTTGGTCTGATGTCCTAGGTCACACTTGAGGCTCATACCTGACTTCATGGGGTGATAATGCCATACATTTGCACTGCACTTCATAAACATACAGTGTGTGTGTGTGTGTGTGCGTGTGTGTGTGTGTGTGTGTGTAAAATTCTGAATTGAAGCACTGAAAAATCCAGGTGTCATGTTGAGAATCTACATAACAGAAATACCACCAGATGATGAGTGAAGGCTCTCCTCCTTGTGGTAAAACGTTCTGCTTTCCACTCCGGCTTGTGTGTCACATCTGTGATGATAACTATTTTGTGCTCTGAAAAAATGTGCATATTAATACGTCCCCTGTCCCTTCACAGAGTTATTATAAGGATAGCATATAGATACAGGTGAAACTAGAGGATGAGAACAAAGGAAAGTTTAAACACCCACCTAATTTCATTTCCCCACACAGGGAATTGGAGCTATCTCTGAAACCGAATAGAATGTCTTTCCCTTACTTATTTCTGTGGGGTTTACTTTCATCCTTAAGATTTATCATGTATCTGTGCATATGGAATTCATTCTCTACTCAATGACCATTTACAAGAATATCTCAGTTTTACTTCAAATTGATTTGCTGTTAACCAAGATGTTGACAATCATATTTATCAACTTGGACTCTGAAAACTTTATGCTGTTATCTAAATATTTAGAACAACAGGAAGTATTATTACACACTTTCTATATGTTTTCTCATTTAATTAACTAACTAGAATATAATGTTGGGACATAATGCATTTATTCATAATGGTTTGGTTGCATCACCAAGGGCTAACTCAAGGTAATACATGCAGCAACATAGAAAGTGCTGTGTCATGGTGTGGTATGGAGATTAAGTGTGCTAAAATGGCTATTTCATTTTGCAGTAACAGGTCGGAGATCAGGAACAATCATTTTTGTTTAGTAGAAGAAAAACTTCACCTTAGTCCAGGTGACAGTTTAATCCAATAATTTCTCAGCCAATTCATGGTTTATATTCAGTCCCAGTTGAATTCGGAGCATCTTCTCCAAGCTCCTTTTTCATTTTTACTGAATTAGCTCTATTTCCAAGAACATCGAACTTATACAGTGCTGACAAGAGCAGGGACTAGTCCTTTTTCTTAACAAGGCATGCCTGGCTCTGCTGCTAATGTCATCATTGCCTTTTCTCTTGGCACAATGGTGCACAGGTGTGCCACATCAGCTCAGGAATAGATCACTACCTGGGTGTTGCCACTGTGATGGAGCCACTCCCACCTCAACTCCAGGAATTGGTCCATAGGAACCCTTCTGAGCCAGGATACAAAATCAATATATAAAAATCAGTTACTTCTCTTTCTTTTATTTTTTAAAACATCTTTCTATACACTAATAACAAATTACCAAAAACTAAAGAACAATCCCATTTACAATGGCATCAAAAGGAGTGAAATACTGCCTGGCTGGTATGGCTCGGTGGTTGAGCATCGATCCATGATTCCTGGTCAGGACACATGCCTAGGTTGTGGACTTGATCCCCAGTAGGGAACATGCAGGAGGCAGCCAATTGATGTTTCTCTCTCATTGATGTTTCTCTCGTACTATCTCCCTTCCTCTCTCTCCAACACCAATTAAAACATATTTAAAAACAAACAAAAACTTCATTAAAAAACAGAATGAAATACTTATGAATAAATGAACCAAAGAAGTGAAAGACCTGTATAGTAAAAATTATTTCGTTGATGAATAAATTTGCAGAAGATGAAAATAAATGGAAAGATCCTCTGTGCTCATGGATTGGAAAACTTGATATCTTAAAATGTCCGTACTACCCAAAGCCATCTATATATTCAATGCAATCCCTATTAAAATCCCAAAGGAATTTTTCAAAGAAATAGGAAAAACAATTATAAAATGTGTATAGAACCACACACACACACACACACACACACACACACACACACAACCAAAAAAACCCCAAAACAAAAAACACCCACAAATAGCCAAAACAATCTTGAAAAAGAACAAAGCTAGAGGCATCATGCTTCCTGATTTCAAACTATAGTACAAAGTTATAGTAAAACAATAGAGTATTAGCATAAAAATTGACATGCAGATCAATGGAAAATAAGAGAATCCGGAAGTAAACCCACATATATGGCCAATTAATTTATGACAAAGAAGCCAAGAATACTCAGTAGGAAAAGGACAGTCTCCTCATGAATGGTGTTGGGAAAATTGAACAGCCACGCCCCAAAAAATGAAACTGGAACCCTGTCTTACCCTGTACACAAAAGTCTACTCAAAATGGATTAGGTCTTAAATCTAAAATCTGAAACTAAAATTCCTAGAAGAAAACATAAAGTAAACTTCTTGACATTGGTCTTGGCAATGATATTTTGGATTTGAAACCAAAAGCAAAGGCCACAAAACCAAAAATGAACAAATGGAACTACATCAAACTAAAAAGCTCCTGCACAGCAAAGGATATCATGGTCAAAAGTAAATGGCAACTTACAGAATGGGAAAAAATACTTGGAAATCATATATATAATAAAGGGTTAATGTAAAAAAATATAGAAAGAACTCACATAGTCCTAGCCAGTTTTGCTCAGTAGTTAGAGCATCAGCCCGTGACTGAAGGGCCAGGGGTTCGATTCCAGTCAAGGATTGCAGACTCCATCCCCAGGCACATGCTGGAGGCAACCAATCTATGTGTCTCACATTGATGTTTCTCTCTCTGTGTCTCTCCCCCTTCCACTCTCTCTAAAACAATCAATGGAAAAGAAGCCTCAGGTGAGGATTAACAAAAGAAAAGAAAAGAACTCACACAACTCAATAGCAAAACAACAATAATAACAAATGGCAAAAACACACAAAAACAAACAATCCTATATAATAAAAGCCTAACATTGTCCCCTCTACTGGAGTTTGGCTGGGAGTTCGATGGTTCAACCAGTTGCAATGATGTGCACTGACCACCAGGGGGCAGACGCTCCAACCCGTAGGTTAGCTTGCTGCAGGCGCTTGTGGACTGGACTGGAAAGTGAAGGGTGGGGTGAGAGCCATCAGGAAGCTCCCAGAGTTTGGCCTGACCCCGCCCCCTTCCCCCCCCCCACGGGCAGAAGCTGGTGGAGCCAGAAGCCAGGAGGGACTAGGTGGCATGGGAGGTTGCTACATGTGATCCCAGAGCCGTGGATTGCGCAGCCCTCCACAGCCTGTGGTGTTCTCAGTGCACAATTTATACTTTTCAGAGCTGCTTCTTTTTATTTAAGTTTCACTAACTACTCCAGGAAAGTGGATAGCACCATTATGGGGGGAAGGGTCAGGCACAACTGCCTGAGGCCAAGGGGTTGATCCCCAGTGTGGGGCATGCAGGAAGCAGCTGATCAATGATTCTTGCTCATCGTTAATGTTTCTATCTCTCTCTCACTTCCTCTCTGAAATCAATAAAAATATATTTTAGCCCTAGCTGTTTTGGCTCAGTGGATAGAGTGTTGGCCTGCAGACTCAAGGGTCCCAGGTTTGATTCCGGGCAAGGGCATGTACCTTGGTTGAAGGCACATACCCAGTGATGATTGTTTTATGACTCGGGATATGGTCAATTTTTAAAATGTTCCATGTACACTTAAAAAGCATAGAAATCCTATCGTTGGTGGGTGCAGTGTTCTATATATTTCAATTACATTAACTTTACTGTGTGGTTCATATTTTTTTATATACTTACTGATTTTTTGCTGCAGTTACTATTGAGAGAGAAGTATTACATTTCCCACTATGTTTATAGATTTCTTTATTTCTCCTTTTAGTTCTGTCAATTATTTTTCTTTTAAATAATTTATAGCTATGTTGCTAGAAACCTAAAAATTTAGAATTCTTGTATTTTCCTGTGAAGTTATCATTCATATGTGTCATTATGAGATAGATACTCCTCTTTATCTCTATAATGCTTCTTGGCTTAATGTCTCCTCATCTAATATTATAACTATATCACTATTCTTCAGTTAAGGTTGCATGGTGCACTTTTTCCAGCTTTTTAAAATCAACCTATCTTATTTTTATATATTTTTTATTGTTGTTGTTTTTTTAGTTTAATGGCTTTTTTAATTAAATTGTTTTATTGCTTAAAGTATTACAAAGAGTATTACATATGTCTCCTTTTTTCCCCGCCCTTGACAATCCCCTGGCCTCCCCTACACCCCAGGGTCTTATGTCCATTGGTTATGCTTATATGCATGCATACAAGTCCTTCGGTTGATCTCTTACTCCCCTCCCTTCTGCCCCCCAACCCTCTCTGGCCTTCCCACTGC